CGGCTCTCCAAGTGGAAGAGACTCGCCGCCGATGATTTAGAGCTCCCGTCCGCTACAATCAACATGACAGACAAGGGTAAGGTCGTACTTCCTGGTTCTCCAGATTCGGACTCCTTCCTGGGGCCTAATCATCCGCTTCTTCAATGTGAATAAGGTGGTATATTCCAGTGTACCCGTAGTCATATGGGGGTGAGCATTGGGTTTGATTACTCAACCTTAGCACCTCTCTCCGGTGGTGAAGACGAGGTTTGCTCAACGGCAGCCACGTCCCAAACCTCACACTCGAGTCGGGACGCACTGGCAAGGGTACACATGGCTGACACCACGAATGATCAGATGATTGCTAAGAAGTTCGAAAAGCAACAAGCAACCATTGACTCTTTAAAGGAGTTGTTGGAACAACTTCTAAACAAGAAGAAGAAGAAGAAGAAGAAGAAGAGAGCCCCACACACCTTACAACGGCCGACGGGGAGTAAAGAGTGGGGGCCTCCTCCCCACCCAGCGACTGAGATGGAAGATAATGTTGGTCCACATTCCGATTACTCCTCCAAGACATCGCTAGGAATGTCGCATACTGGGGGTAGCGCCCGCAACAGGAGGTTCGATGAGTTCCAAAGACAGCTCAATGCTTTGAAACTCCAGCAGAACATGAACAAGCTGGGGGTAGTCCGACCCTATCCTATCGAGTGGGATACAGTCCCATACCCGACGAAGTTCAAGCCGATTAGCTTGGTGCAGTTCGATGGCAAGGGCTCACCCTCACAGCACATCTACTACTTTATGGCACAAACTGGGTTCCTCACGGCGAACGACGCTATTCTCACCAGTTGTTCATAGGCACCTTCAAGGGAGTAGCATTTGAATGGTTCCGCAAGTTGGAACCTGGCTCTATCATATCATGGGCCAACGCAGAAAGGCTCTTCTTGGCTTGCTTCTTCGACGACGACACCGAAGTGTCGATGACCACCCTCGCCGAAAAACAGCAGAAGTCGGAGTCGGTCGACTTCGTAAAGAGGTTCAGGAACCGATCGGTCCACTGTCGGGACCAAGTTTTCGAGTCTACACTGATCGAAATGTGCCGCAACAATCTCTCGATCCATATTCTGTCCAAGGTCGGCACGGTGAAAACCCGGACCTGGAAGGAACTTGTTTGCCAGGGCGAGCAGGTGGAAAATATGATCAAGAGGCTGGAGGCCGAAGAACCTCACCCCAAGAAGGGAGCCGCGGAGTTGACCACGCCAAAGAATCCTCCACGAATAAGAGGAAAGGAGATCATGGCCGTCGATTCCGCTCCGACACCCAAAACGGCTCAAAGGCCGAAGCCCAGGCAGTTCGAGCAACGCTCTCCAAGGTAATATGACTTCAGGGAGGACCAAGTGGTGGCAACAGTCGACTCTCTTCAAGAGCAATTGAATCAAACTACCGAAAGTCACAAAGCCTGAGGAGGCGAACAAGACTAATGACCCGAGTTACTGTGCGTACCACAGGTTCCTTGGTCATCACACCTCTAAGTATTATATCCTCAAGGACAAGCTCTAGGTCCTCTACGACGTAGGGGTCCTAAAAAAGGAGAAGGTACAAAAGTAGGTGACCACGAATATGATCACCCTGAGTTTTGGAATAGATCTCCCGGAGGTTCAGGCCCCGGCAGGGGTAATTCCTATCCCCATGGTAGTCCTGAAAATTGCTAACGACGACCCTCACAATCAACGAGGGAAATGTTTAGTACCCCAAACCTTGCCATCAGGTCAGGTGATGTGGATCCATCTGGACCTCCTCAGCAATGAGCAGTAGGCTTCAAAGCCCTCGAGGAAGACCAAAGGTAGACCTTGCAATGTCATCTTCGCTATTCCGAATGGAGACCAAACTGCAGTATCTGCCCTCACCGACTCTGATGAGGAAACTACCGCCCTCGCTACTAGAGCAGGAAAGGAATTCGCCAAAGAGTACCCCACAAGGGCGAAGAACCTGGCTGGACCTCCCACGAGGCCAGCTGCAGCAGCCCCTCCAAATCCCGATAGGTCGAGCTCGAGCAATCAGCCTTTCTGATTCACGTGCTCTCGCAGCTGAAGAACATCCCCACGCGAATTACCATGTATGACCTCCTGCGGTTATTTAGACCTACCCGGGAAGCCCTACAAGAGGCATTGGCCGACTCGGAAGTCTTCGCCACCCACTTTGTGAGGGAAGAAGACGCGGAAGAGAAGTGTGCAATGTACTGCTAGACCACTAAAAGACGGGTCCCTTGCATCACCTTCACTCCTGAGGACATGCTCATCAAAAGCACCTCTCATGATCGATCACTGTACTTCACGGGGTACGTCGGTTCCTCAAAAGTGGATCGAATTCTAGTCGACCTAGGGTCTGCACTAAGCATCGTACCCCTGAAGCTGATCAAAAACCTGGGGGTACCCCTAAAGCGTCTATCCACGACTACCACGACTATCTTTGGCTTTAATGCCACTGGAACTCAGCCGCTCGGCAAGATCCATCTGAGGTGCCGGATAGGCGACATGAAGACAGAGGTGACCTGTTACATCATCGACGCTGAGCCATCCTACAACATGCTCTTAGGATGTCCGTGGATCCACAACAACCGTATAGTCTCGTCCACATTACACCAATGCTTAAAGTATGTGGATGATTACGAGCGGGTGAAAATAGTAGTAGCCGACAAACAACCCTTTAAGGGCATCGAGAACTACTTCATAGATTCTCTGCTGTACTAAGATCCTGACGAGCCATCGATCAAGGAGCTCGAGAGCGGCAACGAGGCAGATAGTGAGCCCGAGTACGGCGACGACCTTGTCCTGAACGATTTTGAATCAATTGTAATCGGCTACGAAAGCCACAATGTAACCGACGCTGTTCAGGCGGAGGAGATTATCTTGAATGAGAAGTCTAACTTTGCTTACTTATCGTCTCACCCGACATTTGAAAGTGACAAGCCCAGTGATTCAGTTGCGAGGCTATACAGTGACCCTTCCTTGCACTTCCCAGTCTACTCGTCGTATGCCGCGAAGGGACGAACCATGAGTCTTCACGGGCGGTATTTGTGGTACCAACTCGAGATAAATGTTAGAAATATATCATCTTTGGATGAATCGATCACCCCTTACGCACATTGTGGGACGAGTCTGATGAGGAGGAATCCGCGCCCTAATTTTTGCAATACAGTCAAATTGCGAGGCACATGATGAGATACATGGGTTATGACTTTACCCGTCAAAAAGACCTGAACTACGGCCGAGGGTGGAAGACGGTCATCGGACCCACCTATGTGCCTAAGGGAAAGTCCCCAAACTACTTCCACAAGACTCGAAGAGGTTTAGGCTACGCCTCTTCCTCATTGGAGTTGTTCTGCAATTTCGGCGGGGACTCCGACGATACCTGCTCAGAGGATCAATCATCGATATCCTCAGTGTGGGACTCAGACGTCAGCATGGGAGACTTGTTCAACAACCTCACAGTCAACATGGTTGTGACCGATCCTACCGAAATAGCAGAGGACGGACAGGTTCCGCTTTATGACGAGACATGGGACCGCCACGTCGATGCCCAGTAGAGTAATCGCTTCGAGCAACGTGAGCCGCCCACCGAGGACGAAATCCTCCAAGTAAACATGGGCTATGAGACCAACTCCAAGCCCATATTTATCAGCGGTAGTCTACCTCCCCAATAGAAGGAAGACCTCATAGCTCTCATACGGGAATATATTGATGTCTTCGCGTGGAATTATGAGGACATGCTCGACCTTGATCCACAGATCGCCATGCATCTCCTCAACATCGGCGCGGACGCCAAGCCTGTCAAACAGCAGCAGAGGCGGTTTCGTCCGCAAATCATGGAGGCAATCGAGGCCGAAGTGAAAAAGCTGATTGAATCCGACTTCATCAGAGAGGAACAACACCCCGACTGGGTAGCCAACATTATTCCAGTCCTGAAGAAGAATGGTAAGATCTGCATCTGCATTGACTTCAAAAACCTTAATGCCGCTTGCCCAAAGGATGAATTCCCTCTCCCCATCACAGACGTCATCGTCGATAATACGTGCGGATTTGAGAGGATGTCCTTTATGGATGGCTTTTAGGGAATCAAGATGCACCCCGATGATGAAAAACACACTTCATTCAGGACTCCAATGGGGGTATACTGCTACATGGTCATACCTTTCGGACTCAAAAACGCCGGTGCAACCTACCAACGCGCCATGAACACGATCTTTCAAGACCATCTGCAAAAGATAGTCGAATGCTATGTGGACGACTTGGTCATGAAAAGTCGTAGTAAAGATGACCACCTCTAAGACTTAAGGGTGACGTTCGAACTCATGAGAACTCATCAATTCAAGATGAATCCTACGAAGTCATTCTTAGGGATGTCCAGCGGTAAATTCCTTGGGTTCGTAGTCACAACGAAAGGGATCCGAATTGACCCGGATAAGGTACGAGCTATCCAAGAGCTTCAGCTGCCCCCAAATCTTAAGGAATTAAGGGGTCTTCAGGGACGATTGGCTTACATCTGGAGGTTCATTTCAAACCTTTTGGGCAAGTGTCAACCCTTCTCCAAACTGATGAAGAAAGGTACCTCTTTCGTATAGGACGAGCCTTGTCAACGGGCCTTCGAAGAGATCAAAGCTTACCTCTCGAACCCACCTATCCTGGCAGCTCCAATCTCAGGAAAGTCATTCCTCATCTACATCCGAGCCATGGAGCACTTTCTGGGCGCCTATTAGCACAAAATGATGATGTCAGCCATGAGTGGGTATCTACTACCTAAGTAGGACTCTGCAAGGTGCTGAACGATGATACCCCATGGTCGAGAAGGAGTGCCTAGCCCTGATATTCACCATCCAAAAGATACGACATTACCTAGTTGGCTAGACCATCCACATCATTTCCCGGATGAACCCCATCCGAGTCTTCATGACGCAGCCCGCAGCCTTAAACTGACGTTTGGCCAGATGGGCACTCCCACTGTCTCAGTACGACATTCACTTCATGCCGCAGAAGTCGGTCAAAGGGTGGGCTATCTGCGATCTCATGGATAGCCATCCGCTGAGGACGAAAACTGACCTGTTCGAAGATTTGCCAGATGAACCCCCAGAAGTCAACGTGACTTCTCTGGTAGAAGTTTGGCGGATGTTCTTCGACGATGCATCTCGTGTCGGCACAAGCGAATCTATCGTTGCAGAAGTAGGGGTGGTCCTCACTTCCCCACATAACCACGTATTACCCCAGGCCTTTTCTCTAACAGAGCCATGTACCAACAACGTGGCTGTGTATAATGCGCTACTCATTGGACTCGAGCTGGCAAGAGAGTTAGAGATAAAACATCTCAAGGCCTATGGCGACTCTCAGCTCATTGTCAAGCAAATGACAGAGGAATATGAAGTTAGAAATAACGACCTGATCCCGCTTCACAAAGCAGCTACCAAGCTAGTTGAGTCATTCGAAAACTTCCGCATTGAGCATGTGCTTCGTTCTAAGAACACGCACGCAGACGCCCTCGCATCCTTAGCGGCTAATTTGGCTCAGCCACTAGAAACGACTCAATGTGTCACTGTAGTGAGCGGACGACTCTTTCGACCAAAAGACGTTCTAGAGGTGAACACCACTCACCAAGTTTCGGATCAACCCGACCCGAAAGATTGGCGTCTCACGATCATCGATTACATCTTGTAAGGCATGCTGCCCAAAGACGCTAGGGAGCGAGAGTCTGTCCGCCGACGCGCCTTAAGGTTCTACTACGATTCGACCACAAAGACGTTGTATCGCAGATCGTATGATGGCTTGTTACTTTGATGTCTTTCAAAGACAGAAGCACAAGAAGTTCTACGCGAAGCCCATGATGGCACTTGTGGAGCTCACCAGCCTGGACCCAAGCTTTGGGATCGGTTACAGAGGATAGGCTACTTTTGACCTGGGATGGTCAGCGACGTAGTTGCTTATGCAAAGCGTTGCCACACGTGCCAAATCCACACCAACTACATGCATCGACCTCCTGAAGACCTACACCTAACAATGGCATCATGGCCTTTCGAGGCATGGGGGATGGACATCGTCGGACCAATATCCCCGCCGTCGGCAAGAGGTCATCGCTTCATTCTCACGATCACCGACTACTTCTATAAATGGGCCAAAGCCGTCCCTTTAAGAGAAGTCAAGACCAATGACGTGATTAAGTTCATCAAGCATCATGTCATATACCGATACGGTGTACCTCGATGTATCATTCATGACAACGACACATAATTCGTTAGTCATGCGTTCGCCCGGTTTTGTGACAGTTCAGAATGCAGAACCTTTCCTCTACAGCCTATAACCGTTCGGCGAATGGTTTGGCTGAGGCCTTCAATAAAACAATCGTTAAGATCTTAACCAATCTGACTTCCAATAGCAAGCGCGATTGGAACGAGAAGCTGGGTGAGAGCTTATGGGCGTATCGCACAACAGTTCGCACACCGACCGGCAACATGCCTTACTTGTTGGTATATGGCTGTGAGGCTGTGTTACCATTAGAGATTCAGATTCCATCCCTTCGTGTCGCCCTAGTGACAGGGATGACGATCGAGGATAATCATCAATGACGCCTCGCAGAACTTGAAGCATTGGATGAAAGACGGCTTGAGGCCTAATAACACATTGAGTTCTACCAAGCCTGAATGGTTAAGACCTTCGACAAGAAAGTCAAGCATCGATCCTTCAAGGAGGGAGAATTGGTCCTTGCCGTTAGACGACCGATGATTCTCACTTCCAAGAAGAAAGGCAAGTTTTAACCCAAATGGGAAGAACTGTTCGTGGTAGAAACAGTCTATTCAAATGGAGTCTATCGCCTCTTAAACCAAATGGCGATAAGATCATGATGCCTATCAACGGCAAGTTCTTGAAGAAATACTACCCTTAGTTCTCCTTCAAACTCTTACTGGTGCAAGAGTATAAACTGCCCCTCTAAACTCCCACGAGTGCATGAGTCTAAACTGGTCCTCACTCCCTCTAACTGGTACACGAGGCTAAACCGTTCCTACTTCATATACTCTGACGTATTCGTGAGTATGAGCCACTGCTTACGGGAAACCCTATACAAGACGCTACGTATAGTGTTCTTAAGTGTAACCCAGATCCCCACTCGGTCAAACCTTCCTACAGTTAGGACTAAAGTCAACTATCAAGTTAATCTTCACCTCTGATGGTCTCCCCTAAATTTCCCCTGTCGATCCTCTCCAATAGGACGATGGAACCACTCCTACTGTCATGTTAACTATCACATCTGATAGAATCAACTTACCAATCCTCTCTAATAGGATGGTGAGCCCACAAAGTCACTCACATCGTGACAAATAATCCAGTCACGTTAACTATCACCTCTGACAGAATCAACTTACCAATCCTCTCCAATAGGATGGTGAGCCCACAAAATCGCTCACATCACGACAAACAATCCAGTCATGTTAACTATCACCTCTGGTAATATCAACCTATCAATCCTCTCCCATGGGATGATAGGTCCTCATAGTTGCTCCGATCGTAATGAGATTCTATCGGGTTAATGATTACCTCTGGTAGCAGGCTCCGTCATTCCCCGCAAATAACGCTGCCCGAGTAGTAACTTACCACACAACGCGTTGCTATTCCGGTCGGTCATCACACTTGTACATCCCTGAATGCCCCGACCTATTCTAAGCATTCTAATATTCTTTTAGAACAATTGATGGGTAGTAGACCACCATGCGATGGCTCCTACAACAATCGATCGTTATACTCCTATGTCCCTGAACGATTCGGTTATCCGGACATCATCGTCCTCTTGAGAGACAATGTTCATTAAGGGTGGCTTGCCAGGTGACATACTCTAGTTGACCCTCGAACAACAACCCGCCAAATGGCGAGTTGTTGTTTGGATTACTGATTAGGTCGCATGCACAAGCAACCGCTCTATTCGTCTCAAACCAACCTAAACTACAACGCGAAAGTCGGAATCAACCCGGCCATACGCTGCGAACAGCCGAGGGCGGAAGAGAATCTTAGCAACTAAGTCTAAGATGAACTCCTCGAAGGCCCGCCACACTACGGAAAACAGTGTAGCTAGCTTAACTCGAGCGAGCAATAGACAGTGAAGGCGAGTCCAACACAATGACCGCCAAGAATCAGTCAAAAGAAAAAAAAGGGGTCCTAAGTGCAGAAAATAAACAAAATGATGTGCATGCAAGGCGATAAATAGCTAAGAGCATAAAAGGCCATTCCAGACCGAGTTTAGAGACATAATGTTTTAAATTACGATGCAACAGGCGTCGACAAAATTACAGCGATGTCTAACAAAAAAACAGACAAAAGACGCCCTACATCAACTTCAGCAGGCTAAAACTGGCGATTCTCGCCTTGACGTCCGCGAGCTCCGCTGCCTGCCTGGCTTGAGTCTTCGCCTCCTACTTCTGTTGAAGCCTGGCGAGACCAGCCTCGCCGTCCTCCTCTTTCTGACGAAGGAGTTCGAGCGTCCTTGCCTCTACCTCAGCAGCGCGACCAACCCACGCCTTCTCACGCTCGAGCCTCTTCAGCCTCGCCTCTCCCTCAAGGGACCCGACATCCATGAAGAAGGCGGCATCCAGATAAGCGTCCATCTTTGCCAGAATGACGTGATGTTGCTTGTGCAGGTGCCTAAGCAGAGCCTCCTGTCTCAGGATCTTCTTTGTCGGTTCTTCGCGATCAAACAGAGCACTCATCGCGAGAGGTGCCAGTTCAGGGTCGGCATGCACCAGCCCCTCCAGGCGGTACATTAGCTCCTCCAGATGATGGAGCTCCCGCTCACATCACTAAGCAAGCGAAGGACCGCCCACACGTCGGAGTTCCTCCAGACTCTCCTTCACGAAGGGGAGCATGTCATGATATCTCTCGACGCACTGGCTAACGATGGTAGCCGTCCGGCGTAGAGCGTCCTCTAACTTCTGGAGGATGGCGAATGCCGGACTGAAAGCTGGAGTGGAGGACCCTTGGGTCGAGCCTGCGGGAGAGGACGGCATCACGTCAACGCCGACAGCAGTGGAGGAGGAAGCAACCCCTTCCCCCTCGGGGACACCGTGGTTAGACTCGAAAGCCATTGATCAGAGCAAGGAGGATTATGTGGATGTTTTCTTCAGGCGAATTTTCATGAGAATGAGAACTCTGCCCAGAGAATGACGAGCACGTTATATAGCCAAAAGATCAATGGCTGAGATTCGCTGCCTCGAATAGATCGACCGGCTAAGATCTCCCGCGATGTTTAGAGTTTGGCACCCATAAAAGCCTTGGCTTTTGGGAACTCCAAACCGACGGTTTGGATCACACACGAAAGGCGAAGCATCCTGTCACTTCACAATTAAGGAGGATTGAGGCACCCACATCGCCCTAGCTGGCAAGCACTCAGGCCCGCTGGCGGACACGTGGTACAAATCCCGCTTGTATTTGAGTTTCGCCTGCAGCATGAACTCGCCTGGACTTGAGTTCGCCTGTGGCATGAATTCGCTTGTGCTTAGGTTCACCATCAGCATGAACTCGTCTGCACTTGAGTTCACTTGTGGCATGAATTCAGCTTTGCTTGAATTCGCCTGCAGCATGAACTCGCTTGCACTTGAGTTCACCTGTCGCATGAACTCACCTACGCTTGAGTTTCGCCTGTGACATAAACTCTCCTGCGCCTGGGTTTCGCTTATGATATGAACCCACACACGTTTGAGCCTATCTGCCGCATGAGCAAGGAAAATAAAAAAAAGAAAAGAAAGTACGCGTAGCGTGTCAAGAGGTCAAAGAAACCCGAAGTTCGTTCATTAGATGTTTCAAGATGATACATTTGAACATAGTTATGAGCTTATCATGACATTACGCTCAAGAAACAAAGAAGGGAACAGGACACATAGAATCTATTCCTATCCTATAGGCTTATTATAGGAGTTTGAAGGACGCGAGCTTGGCCCTAACCACGGCTATCTTTTCCGCATCCAAGGTACGAACATCGTCCTCAGCCTCTTGCCAGATCCTCACTTTGAAGGAAGCATTAGCAGCGGCATCCTCTTGGTGCCGGGACAGAAGGTCGCGTCTCTCCCTCGCAAGGACACCATGCATGGTCTTGATCTGAACACGCAGACCAGTCAAGATCGATTCCCCTTCGGCATACGGAGTCCTGTCCAAAGAGATTGAGCTAGCAGTACCCTCTATTTCGGTCTGCAATAGACGCCGACGAAGATCCAAGCGAGTGATAAAGGATTCTTTATCTTCTATGTCTCGCCTTCGGCACTCTCGCTGCCACGCCTCGCGACGATGAGCCGAAGCCAAGAGTGACTCCACTACGGACTTCAAGTTTGCCTGTCGCAGATTCTCAAGCTTGTTTATGAGTGACTCTAGGTCGATGAGCCTCATCGAACAGCGTATGGTGAGCCTGTAGTCGCCCAAACGACGAATTCGAGTAACCCGATCTAAGAGGGTCTGCTTCAGATCCGCAAAGACACCACGACCCTGATCGATGACCGAGATCGCCCACCTCACAGCACCCTCCATATCCTCTATATGGATCTGTAGGTTGGCTGAATCTGAAAGTTTAGACTCCGGATCGCGGCCAGGTGCAGCAGTTGAAGAGGAGGCGTCGCTCACTGTGTTCTTTGGGGCGGATGCTTTAGAGCACGGCGCCATTGAAAACGAGAAAGGGGAAACGAGCA